GCTGTATCAAATTATACTGCAAACATTAAAAAAATTATCGATGAGTCTGAGTGTCAGCCTTCTCATTGAACGTGCTTTTTTATTTTTCAATGTCTAGACTTCAAATCTAAGGTATAAAATAGTTTACTTTCTGCCAATGTGTCCGGGATATCATCAATTTGAGGCAGGAGATAACTGTCTTTCTTGGTAACATTGTCCAACTAACGGTATTCCACACAGAACCTCGTGGTTTCTTCCTTTTTCTACACCAAAAGTACCAGAAAGACCAATGGGCTGGTAAAAGGTTCTATCACCCTGTCTTTCTCCATTTCCCGAACAAACCTTTCAACTTCCTCTTTCTTGTTCTTTGGTAATCTCTGATTGACGAATGGGACTCGAGTCACCAGTGTCAATTTTATATTTTACAACAGAAGTTCTTCCTATTTTATTCATTTTTATTCATTTTTTTTTTCATTTTTATTTATTTTTATTCATTTTTATTCATTTTTATTCATTTTTATTCATTTTTATTCATTTTTATTTTTGGTTTTCTCGTGGACATTACAGAGAAATTAAACGAAGTTAATTTGCATTTTTATTTTTGATACAAAAGCATTTATCAAAAAGCTGGATTTTGGGAACAAAACCTTTAACAGCGATGCCAAGCATTTTCCTATTCATTTTTATTCATTTTTATTCATTTTTATTCATTTTTAGCGCAGTTCATTTTTATTCATTTTTATTTTGGCGAAAACATCGCTGCAACAAAAATGGAAGTAATTGAGTTTCAAAATTATGTAGCCTTAAAATCGTTAGTCTCAAGTTGTATCTGGCCTATTGTAAATAAAGACAAATATTCAGTTCGATGCCGTGTTGCCTTGAAAGTTTTTATTCATTTTTATTCATTTTTATTCATTTTTATTCATTTTTATTCATTTTTATTCATTTTTATTCATTTTTATTCATTTTTATTCATTTTTATTCATTTTTATTCATTTTTATTCATTTTTATTCATTTTTATTCATTTTTATTCATTTTTATTCATTTTTATTCATTTTTATTCATTTTTATTCATTTTTATTCATTTTTATTCATTTTTATTCATTTTTATTCATTTTTATTCATTTTTATTCATTTTTATTCATTTTTATTCATTTTTATTCATTTTTATTCATTTTTATTCATTTTTATTCATTTTTATTCATTTTTATTAATTTTTATTCATTTTTATTCATTTTTATTCATTTTTATTCATTTTTATTCATTTTTATTCATTTTTATTCATTTTTATTCATTTTTATTCATTTTTATTCATTTTTATTCATTTTTATTCATTTTTATTCATTTTTATTCATTTTTATTCATTTTTATTCATTTTTATTCATTTTTATTCATTTTTATTCATTTTTATTCATTTTTATTCATTTTTATTGATCCATTTTTATTCATTTTTATTCATTTTTATTCATTTTTATTCAATTTTATTCATTTTTATAAATTTTATTTATTTTTTATTCACTTTTATTAATTTTTAATAATTTTTATTAATTTTACTCTTTATTAATTTTTAATAATTTTTATTAATTTTTATTAATTTTTATTAATTTTTTATTAATTTTTATTAATTTTTATTAATTTTTATTAATTTTTATTAATTTTTATTAATTTTTATTAATTTTTATTAATTTTTATTAATTTTTTCATTAATTTTTATTAATTTTTATTAATTTTTATTAATTTTTATTAATTTTTATTAATTTTTATTAATTTTTATTAATTTTTATTAATTTTTATTAATTTTTATTAATTTTTATTAATTTTTATTAATTTTTATTAATTTTTATTAATTTTTATTAATTTTTATTAATTTTTATTAATTTTTATTAATTTTTATTAATGCCAAGCATTTTCCTATTCTTTCAGAAAAAATATCTCAAAACCCATTAGAACCCTATGACAGCAAATATCATGTAGAAATAGTTTCTACCCTTAATAATAGGTTCAAAAATCGTTTTAAGGATTTCAACGAAATGGCTTTAGTAGCGCAGTTTGTTGTTTCACCCTTTATGGAAATTAATATCCAACAGTTTGCAACTTGTGTTATGCAGAACTTTGGCGAAAACATCGCTGCAACAAAAATGGAAGTAATTGAGTTTCAAAAATTATGTAGCCTTAAAATCGTTAGTCTCAAGTACCAAATGTATCTGGCCTATTGTAAATAAAGACAAATATTCAGTTCGATGCCGTGTTGCCTTGAAAGTGAAAGCATTATTCAGTTCAACCTATTTGTGTGAATCTTCTTTTTCCAATATGAAGTTTATTAAGAACAAATATCGCAATCGACTTACAGATGAACATTTGGATAATTGTATTCGAATGGCTGTATCAAATTATACTGCAAACATTAAAAAAATTATCGATGAGTCTGAGTGTCAGCCTTCTCATTGAACGTGCTTTTTTATTTTTCAATGTCTAGACTTCAAATCTAAGGTATAAAATAGTTTACTTTCTGCCAATGTGTCCGGGATATCATCAATTTGAGGCAGGAGATAACTGTTTTTCTTGGTAACATTGTCCAACTAACGGTATTCCACACAGAACCTCGTGGTTTCTTCCTTTTTCTACACCAAAAGTACCAGAAAGACCAATGGGCTGGTAAAAGGTTCTATCACCCTGTCTTTCTCCATTTCCCGAACAAACCTTTCAACTTCCTCTTTCTTGTTCTTTGGTAATCTCTGATTGACGAATGGGACTCGAGTCACCAGTGTCAATTTTATATTTTACAACAGAAGTTCTTCCTATTTTATTCATTTTTATTCATTTTTTTTTTCATTTTTATTTATTTTATTCATTTTTATTCATTTTTATTCATTTTTATTCATTTTTATTCATTTTATTTATTTTATTCATTTTTATTCATTTTTATTCATTTTTATTCATTTTATTCATTTTTATTCATTTTTATTCATTTTTATTCATTTTTATTCATTTTTATTCATTTTTATTCATTTTTATTCATTTTTATTCATTTTTATTCATTTTTATTTTTATTAATTTTTATTAATTTTTATTAATTTTTATTAATTTTTATTAATTTTTATTAATTTTTATTAATTTTTATTAATTTTTATTAATTTTTATTAATTTTTATTAATTTTTATTAATTTTTATTAATTTTTATTAATTTTTATTAATTTTTATTAATTTTTATTAATTTTTATTAATTTTTATTAATTTTTATTAATTTTTATTAATTTTTATTAATTTTTATTAATTTTTATTAATTTTTATTAATTTTTATTAATTTTTATTAATTTTTATTAATTTTTATTAATTTTTATTAATTTTTATTAATTTTTATTAATTTTTATTAATTTTTATTAATTTTTATTAATTTTTATTAATTTTTATTAATTTTTATTAATTTTTATTAATTTTTATTAATTTTTATTAATTTTTATTAATTTTTATTAATTTTTATTAATTTTTATTAATTTTTATTAATTTTTATTAATTTTTATTAATTTTTATTAATTTTTATTAATTTTTATTAATTTTTATTAATTTTTATTAATTTTTATTAATTTTTATTAATTTTTATTAATTTTTATTAATTTTTATTAATTTTTATTAATTTTTATTAATTTTTATTAATTTTTATTAATTTTTATTAATTTTTTTATTAATTTTCACCCCCGTTTTCCCCCCTTAAAATGTGAAAATCCAAAAACCATGAAACGTCATTTTTGATTTGTTATGAGAACCTACAATTCCAATTTTCAAGTTCCTACTTTTAAAAAAATCGATATTTTCAAATAAACTTTCACCCCCTTCGTTTCTTCCCCCCCCCCCTTAAAATATGAAAATATTAAAACACGTCATTATTAATTTGTACTCTTTAGCTGCAATTCCAGTTTTCATGTTTCTAACTTCAAAGAGAATGAAAAAAAATACTCCCATACAAATTTTTGCCCCCATTTGCCCCCCTCAAGATTTAAAAATATAAAAACCCTAAAACACATTATTATTAATTTGTACTCAGTAGCTGCAACCAAAAACAGATACTCCCAAATAAAATTTAACCCCCCCCCACATTTCTGCCCTTAAAATGTAAAAATCCAAAAACCCTATAAACACGTCAATAATAATTTGTAGTCAGTAGCTGCAATTCCAATTTTTGTTTCTAACTTTAAAGAGAACAAAAAAAAATCGATAGTCTCCCATACAAACTTTCACCCCCCATTTTCCCCCCTTAAAATGTAAACATCCAAAAACCCTGAAACACGTCATTATTTATTTATGCTTAGTAGCTGTAATTTAAATTTTCATATATTTAACTTTAAAGAACAAAGAGTTTCATTAAGAGCTCCCTTCCCCTATTTCCTCCTATTTCCCCCCCTTAAAGTTAAAATTTTCAAAAATCCTTTATTAGCGGATGCTTACGTTATAAAATAAACCTATGTTCCAAATTTTAGCTCTCTAGGCTCAGTAGTTTTGGCTGTACGCTGATAGGTCCGTCAGTCAGTCAGTCAGTCAGGACAAACAATTTTATATAGATAGATAGAATGTAATATATTCGTTCAACTTCGAACATTCCATTCAAGTGCCTCTAACCATAAGTTTCTTCTAATTCGTATTTTAGAACACTAATAATAATTTTATTTTTTTTTAATATGCATATTTTATTTTCCTTTTATCTCCTAAAACGACGCCCATGTTTTTCGGTAAGAAATAATATTAACGAGTGAAACGTAACCTCACTTCGTTTTTTATATTTGAAGTCGCATAAAACACAAGTCTTTTCCTAGTATAAAATAAACCCTACAAATAAAGTCCTACAAATAAAGTATCAAAGTCACTTTTAACACCACCATACTTGAACTTAAAAAATTGTCTAAAACTAACTGGAAAAATAAATATAGAGATAGAGATATTAATCTATTTCTCTCTAATTAGAATCTTTCATGCGAGACGACAAAAAAATTGTTTACTGTCCTCTCTGTACTACTCTGAGCTATCAATAAATACAAAATAAATATTCCTATAATATTAACACTCCACTAAACCACCAATAGGCGGCGATAACCAATTAATTACTTTGCCAAATGATGACGTAGCTGTGTTCTCCTAATTGTAATCGGACCTAACTGACCTGTTACTGACATATGAACTTGGCGTTGATAGTAAGTAGTATATCACATCAACGATATTTTAAATAAAATAACAAAAGTTGGATTAAAATTATTGGGTTTTACCGTCATTATTAAGAAGACTAACTGTACGATGTAATAATTTGTTTAATAGGAATTCCCATTAGTAACTTTCTGATTTTTAACTACTTTTGTGTTTACCGTATTGTTAAAACCAAACGAAGTTGTTTGACAAGGTTAAGTTGAATGTAGAAGATACTGTTAAAATTAAAAGAAAAACAAAAGTCCAGCGATATTCTATAATGCAAATGTTTTAGGCCTGGTTATTTAATGAAAAAAATGAGTTGTTTCAGTGTTGTTAAAGTGTATCTATGTTTTTATTTTGTAACAAGTAAGGTGTTTGTTGTTTATCGTTGTTTTGTTGTTACATTAAAGTGATTTTTCAGGTGTTTTACTTCAAATCAGTGCTCTTTCTGTTAAATCGTATGCAAATTCCTCGTTAGTCAGAGTGGCAAGAGCTACTAAAAAATGCAATGGGTAAGTTTCTCCATTCTCATTTATTTTTTTAAATTAAATATCGAACAATTTTTCATTTGCTACATTTCGAACCTCAAATTTAGGAAGTAAACTGTACATGTTCTGCTATAGGGCGTAAAAATGCCTAGGTATGTCTTAAAAATAAATCCAAAGGCAAATTAAAAATTTTATCATTTGTCGTGGGCTCCGGGGCGACTTTTATTCCCAGTTTAGCTTTATTAGACCAGGGTCGATAATTTTTGAAACAAAAAAAAAATAATAGTAGGATGAAACCCGTTAAAAAAAGACGCGAATATTACAAAAATGAAAGGAAAAATAATTTACGGGCGATCTGAGGTCGGGAAGTGGAAGGGGGTGAGTTTTTAAGGGTAAAAAATGGAGTATCTCGATTTCCGGCAAAACTATGGAAAAAAATTAAATCACAAAGTTGTAGGTAATAAAGAGACCTACAACTTTTGTGATTACACTTTTTTCACATAACCTCAAAATTTATGTGAAAAATTCAAATAATCTTGTTTTTGGTTTTTTATTTTTCTTATTCAAAAAAAATTGGTTTTCTCGAAATTTGGTGAAACCTTACCTTTTTATGTCCTAAAGACACTGTAATTTTTTTGATTTGAAATAATTATTTTTTCACCTTATTCTGACTTAATATCGAAAAAAAAATTTTCAATCGAAAATTCTCGCGTCAAAATATCAGCTTTTGTTCGTTGAAATCTCTTCTTATCTTATCAAAAATTTTCAGTACCAATAAAAATTAGAATACACAGGGTGTTTCGAAAAGATTGCCCAAGTAACATTTTTAGATTTATGAAAGTATACAAGATAACCATAAAACCCTTTTTGGGATACTGATAAAACTTTTGAGTCCGCGAGATAGCCTTATGTTATGTTATGTTGAGAATGGGGTGTTAATACACTGCGACCTAAAAGATCTATTGTGTCCCCTTCTGTCGCCACTGCACTATAGCCAATGCCTATAGCGACCCTTCCAATCCTATTTTCTCAAGGAAGTGTAGGATTTGCAGTGGCTTCAATTTAGTTAAGTCTCCCTCTTCTATTTGATATCCTCCTAGATATAGTGCCCTTGGATTCTGGAGTGCTACACATTCAGTTAGGATGTGAATGGAGGTGTTTCGTTACAGCTGCTAAGGAGGCATGGCTTACATGACCATCAAGCAGAAAGAGTATTTTATTCTCCTAGATATAGTGCCCTTGGATTCTGGAGTGCTACACATTCAGTTAGGATGTGAATGGAGGTTTCGTCACAGCTGCTAAGGACCATCGTCTAAACTCACCAAGCATCTACTAAGCCTTAATAGGAAAAATACTAGAATACTAGTAGGTCTATTAACAGGGCATTGTAGGCTTAACAAACATATGTTCAATATCGGTCTGACAGAAGAGGCCTTGTGCCGATTCTGTCAAAAAGAAGAGGAAACGGTAGAACACGTATTGTGCTACTGCGAAGGTCTAGTAAGACTGAGATTCCTTACACTTGGAGAAGAAAAACCAAGGGCAACTAGCTATACCGGAGAACTACTTCCCAGTCTATGGAGTCTACTACAAAAGACCGCATTAGACAAGGTACTCTAAACAATGATTAAAGGATATCCACAATAGATCTGAAAAGGTCGAGGTGGGGGAGGCCACATGGCCCATAGTCCTAATTAAATCTAATCTAATCTAAGGAGGCATGGCTTACATGACCATCAAGCAGAAGGAGTATTTTATTCTCCGGAGAGGGATTAGCATGTTTGCAAAAATGTTTCAGCCATTGAACGAAGAGTTCTGAGTTCATCCAACCAGACTCTTGGCACAAACCTAAACTTTCAGGAGGTGCTTTATCAAAAAGTTCATCTTTTTTGTTTTTTCTTGAAATGATCAAGGCTGGAGAAATATAGTTACCTGTTGCACTTATGCAACAAACAACAGTTACATGCTGGCCTCTTTCTGGGCTTGTCAGGGATCCTACTTGTTTGCGCCCAGTTGATGCCAATATTTTTGAAGGTTTCTAGACAGTAGACAGTCCATTTTCATCCATATTGTAAATCTTCTCAACAGTGATAGATTTCTCTTCTAGAACAGAATCTAAAACCTCAAAAAATTTGGAAACTTGAGGCTTGTTGAAAGCTCGTACCCTGGCTGCTGAAGTGGGTTCTGGACGTCGTAGAAATATGTCGGTATTTCTTTTGCAAAATCCTCTGAGCCACTCTTTACCTGCGATTCCTTTTTCACGGTTAAATCTATGATCTAGTTTATTTTCCGCAAACTCATAAGCTGATTGTCTCACTTCGGTTGTGGTTAAACCAAACAGTCTAGATTCAAGATATTTTAGGTGTTTTACCAACTCTTTCTCTGTTTGGGAATCAAAAGTTATTGAAAATCGGCCCAGACTTTTCTCTACACCTTTAACTCCTTTATTCTTATTAGCAGCTCTACGTCTAAGAGTTTCTTGGGGAAGTTTATAGACTTTAGATGCTTTTAGCCATCCCATTCTCTTTTCTTGTACATCTTTTATAGCTTGCTGCATAGATTCTTCATCCCAGGACTGTCTATTAGTCTTTCTGACGTACCTTCCAACCATACTCATCTGTAAAAAAAAATTAAACATCGAATTACAATAATTCCGTAGTAGTCGACGCCGATGACACCAAATTAAAAAAAAATTATTGTACCAAAAATACTATAAATTGTACTGTGCGTCGTATAAAATGACATACCATGTCATTTTAACAACAACCACAATATGTCATTTTAAACGGAATGTTACATTTTCAATATATAGATTATTATTGATAATGTTAAAGTTGCTATTAAAAAACCTACTTACCAATCAATTGTTCACTGTTCACATATAACAATTAATGCCAACACAATATTTAATACCACGAAGAATGATATAAAAACAGCAAAACTCTAAGTGGTCATAAGAAATCGCATAAAAAAATTGAGGCATTTACAGCAGAAGATGGAGAACTATTAACTGATCTTAAAAGTATCTGTAATGAATTCAACAATCAGTTTATCAATGTAGGAAAGAACTTAGCCGAAAAAATTGAAAGAGACGATGAAAAACAATCAAATGATAGGTTTACACTGCAGAACTCAATAGTATTCTTTGAAACAAATCCGTCAGAAATTATTGCAATTATTAAAGATTTAAAAAATAAAAAATCACCAGGTACTGATGAGATTTGCTCAGAAGTCCTAAAAACTATTGCAACTTTTATTGCTGAACCGATATCATATATATTGAACCAGTGTATCGACAAGGCCATTTACCCCTCAGCATTTAAAACCTCTATTGTTACTCCAGTGTTTAAGAAAGGAGATAGCACTCTCTTTAGTAACTATAGACCTATTTCCCTACTCGCTCATCTATCGAAGATATTCGAAAAATTAATAAAAAACAGGCTGAGTTCTTTTTTAAATAAATATAAACTATTGTCTCCTAAACAGTACGGATTTAGGGAAAAAATTTCAACAGAAGATGCTATATTAGATTTAGTATCTCACATACACAGTGCACTTGAACAAAGCAGGCCGTCATATTCCTAGACTTAAGTAAAGCTTTCGATACAGTTGATCATTACCTTCTCCTACAATCTCTAGAAGATATTGGTATTAGAGGAAAAACCTTAAGACTATTTGAAAGCTACCTTACCAGCAGATATCAGTCTGTAAAAGTAAGTGGAGAGGAAAGTGATCGAAAGCCAATAAAATACGGGGTGCCCCAGGGCAGTGTTCTAGGTCCAATTTTATTCAACATTTATATAAATGGTCTGTTTTCAATTTCTAGTAAGGGCAGAATTGTGGGATTTGCAGATGATACTGCAATGTTCTACGAAGCACCTGATTGGGATGAACTCAAACGCATGGCTGAAAGAGATTTTCTCAATATTAAGACTTGGCTCGACAACAAAGTACTTACTGTAAATTTAGACAAGACTAGATACGTACCTTTCAGCTGCAACATCAGCTGTCTTCCCAAATTTCATCAACTTGACATTTCTATAAATAAAAATCATCTTGCTCTTCAACCTTTAACACAAATAAAATACCTTGGCATATTTATTGACAGTCATCTGAAATGGGAAAACCATATAAATTATACCGTAAAAAAACTGCAGCGTATCTTATATAAGTTTAATTTTCTGAAAAGATATCTTTCAGTTAGCTGTTTAACAACTTTGTATTATGCCTTAGTCGAAAGCCATCTTAGATATGGTATTCTAGCTTGGGGAAGCGCACTAAGGTGCCATATCCAAACGCTTGAGATAATACAAAAAATATTTTTAAAACTTATGTTGTCGAAAGAATATTGATACTCAAGTGACCTATTATATGCCGAAAGTCAAATCATGGATCTTAGGCAAATATACTTCTACTGCATGGCTCAAAAATATCAACTTAATACTAAACATGCTAACTTACCTTCTCACTCCTATCAAACTCGCAATAGAAATCTCCATATCGTGCCACAAGTAAGTAAATCACTTAGTCAACGATCTTATACCTATCTTGCTCCTAAGATACATAATGAACTACCAGAATCAATAAAAACAATTAAATGTAAAATTAAAATGAAAAAAAGCCTTAAAAAATTTATTTTAGAAAATCCACGACAAAAATTTAAAGATATAATAAAATGTAGAAATACTTAACTTGCGTCTGTTTCTAGTCTCAGCTTTAGTTTTTTGAATTAATTGTTTTTTTAACACTCAATAATATAGATTTTGGTTGTCACGTTTTCCCTTAAATTCACTTTAATCTTCTAATTATAAAAATGGATCAATTAAATTTCTCTTATATATTTATATATTTATCCTATTTTATTTATTCTAATTTTAGTTAATTTAGTTTTAGTTATTTGTATATTTTAATCTTGTGTTTTTTTATCTTTACAACATTAATGTTTTTAAATAATAATTTATTGTACTTTTTTTTAAGTTTCATGTATTATAATCGAAACAAGTGAGTACTCACTTATCGAGTGTACCTTTATTCATTCAATTACTTTTAATTTTTAAGCTACCATTTGTATTTTTATAACTATATATTTTTTTTGATGAATTAACTATTAATAACAGCACTCGGTGGGGTACCTGGCTTAAAGCTGCCTTTTTTTAGAAGTATATTATTATGACCTTAACTTTATTTTTCAGATTTATGTGTGAAACTTCACAAAAATGCATAAAATCCGAAAAAAAATGCGACGGTAGAGTCGATTGTGAAGATGGAAGTGATGAATTTAACGATTGTAAAAGTATAGAGTAAGTAGAAAATCCATAATTGGAACAACTTTTCTAATTTCCTTATTCCAGGTGCCCAGGATATTTATTCACTTGTGATTATGGGGCCTGTATTGAAATGGACACTGTTTGTGATAAAAAAAAAGACTGCAGAGATAATTCGGACGAGGTCAACTGTCTCGACCAATCGCAAAAAGTCTCCAGCAACTGCAAGTAAGTTTTTTCTCGTCAAACAACACCTTTCAATGAGAAGACCGTCAGAATTTTGCCAAATCTGATATAGCAACTGTCAGTTAAAAATGGTAAAAAAAACAAAGCATCACAGCTTAAAATGATTTTAAAAATACCACGTCCTGTGATGAAAGGTGAAAGTTTTACATGTAAAGTCATAAATGAAAAATCATATTTGGCCGACGATTTTCAAATTTGATATATCGATCTAGATGATGATTCTTAACAACGTTTCTTAATAACTTTTGGTCCTATCTACAACTTAAAAAGCACTTTAATTCGAAGTAAAATAGGTTTTCTGAAAAGACAACCTTGATTTTTTTAAAATTGAGATTATGTTGAAAATAAGTCTTTAACCAGGCAGGGTTGAATCCCAAAAAATCAAAATATAATTCAAGAAATTTTTACCTTTTTCAATAGTCGTTTCAGCTATCCGGACACACACTGTATATACAGGGTGTTTTATAATATATGCACAGGATTTCAGGAAGTGATAGCTCGTCCAAAAATATGAAAAAAGGTTTCTATTAACTTACCCTCTAAAATGCACCATTTTTGAGATACAAGGTGTTGAAATTGAGAACAAAAATTCTACCCTAAAAAAAGTACGGTTTTGAGACGCCCATTTTAACCGCCAATATTTTCTACACAAAAAAGGTACTCCTGGTCATACGCTCTAAAGTCGACCGTTTTCGAGAAAAATCAAATTTGGTCAATTTTTGGAAATAAAACGAAATTTGATTTTTCTCTAAAACGGTCGACTTTAGAGCATATGACCAAGAGTACCTTTTTTGTGTAGAAAACATTGGCGGTTCAAATGGGCGTCTCAAAACCGTACTTTTGCCAGTAGCGTAGAAATTTTTTTTTTTTTCAATTTCAACACCCTGTATCTCGAAAATAATGCATTTTAGAGGGTAAGTTAATAAAAACGTTTTTTCATATTTTTGGACGAGCTATCACGTCCTGAAGTCCTGCGCATATATTATGAAACACCCTGTATATATATTTTTGTTTACTTTTAGTTCGAAACAATTCGAATGTACGTCAGGTCAATGTATCAGCTTGGAAAAAAAGTGCGATGGCAAGCCAGACTGCGGCGACAGATCAGATGAAACCAAAGGGACATGTTTGAATATGAACTGTCCGGGATTCACGTTCATTTGCGACTACGGCGCGTGCGTGGACGGATTCGCTGAATGTAACGATGTCAAAGATTGCATCGATAATTCTGATGAGGACGATGTACGCTGCAACCGCGCACCAGTAACTAAGCCCACGGTGAAACCGCCAGTCACTTCACCTCCAACAACAGGGTAAGAGATAGACCGCAGTATTACTGTCTTAACTAAATTATTTCCTAAATTATTTTCTAAATTATTTCCTAAATTATTTCCTAAATTATTTATTTCCTAAATTATTTATTTCCTAAATTATTTATTTCCTAAATTATTTATTTCCTAAATTATTTATTTCCTAAATTTTTTATTTCCTAAATTATTTATTTCCTAAATTATTTATTTCCTAAATTATTTATTTCCTAAATTATTTATTTCCTAAATTATTTCCTAAATTATTTCCTAAATTATTTCCTAAATTATTTCCTAAATTATTTCCTAAATTATTTCCTAAATTATTTCCTAAATTATTTCCTAAATTATTTCCCAAATTATTTCCTAAATTATTTCCTAAATTATTTCCTAAATTATTTCCTAAATTATTTCCCAAATTATTTCCTAAATTATTTCCTAAAATATTTCTTAAATTATTTCCTAAATTATTTCCTAAATTTCTTCCTAACTTTTTTCTAAATTACTATCTAAGTGACTATTTAAATAACCATGTAAATGACTTTCTAAATGACTATCTAAAAGATTATCTAAACGACTATCTAAATTACTACTTTAATAATTACCTTAATAACTACCTAAATTACTACCTAAATATCTACCTAAATTATTATTTAAATTACTATCTAAATTATTATCTAAATTACTATATAAATTACTATATAAATTACTATATAAATTACTATATAAATTACTATATAAATTACTATATAAATTATTACCTAAATTACTATCTAAATTACTATCTAAATTACTATCTAAATTACTACCTAAATTACTATCTAAATTACTATATAAATTACTATCTAAATTACTATCTAAATTACTATCTAAATTACTATCTAAACTACTATCTGAATTACTATCCAAATTACTATCTAAATTACTATCTAAATTACTATCTAAATTACTATCTAAATTACTATCTAAATTACTATCTAAATTACTATCTAAATTACTATCTAAATTACTATCTAAATTACTATCTAAATTACTATCTAAATTACTATCTAAATTACTATCTAAATTACTATCTAAATTACTATCTAAATTACTATCTAAATTACTATATATATTACTATCTAAATTACTATCTAAATTACTATCTAAATTACTATCTAAATCACTATCTAAATTACTATCTAAATTACTATCTAAATAACTATCTAAATTACTATCTAAATTACTATCTAAATTACTATCTAAATTACTATCTAAATTACTATCTAAATTACTATCTAAATTACTATTTAAATTACTATCTAAATTACTATCTAAATTACTATCTAAATTACTATCTACATTACTATCTAAATTACTATCTAAATTACTATCTAAATTACTATCTAAATTACTATCTAAATTACTATCTAAATTACTATCTAAATTACTATCTAAATTACCATCTAAATTACTATCTAAATTACCATCTAAATTACTATTTTAATTACTATCTAAATTACTATCTAAATTACTATCTAAATTACTATCTAAATTACTATCTAAATTACTATCTAAATTACTATCTAAATTACTATCTAAATTACTATCTAAATTACTATCTAAATTACTATCTAAATTACTATCTAAATTACTATCTAAATTACTATCTAAATTACTATCTAAATTACTATCTAAATTACTATCTAAATTACTATCTCAATTACTATCTAAATTACTATATAAATTATTATCTGAATAACTATCTGAATTACTATCTAAATTACTATCTGAATTACTATATAAATTACTATCTAAATTACTATCTAAATTACTATCTAAATTACTATCTAAATTACTATCTAAATTACTATCTAAATTACTATCTAAATTACTATCTAAATTACTATCTAAATAACTAAAATTACTATCTAAATTACTATCTAAATTACTATCTAAATTACTATCTAAATTACTATCTAAATTACTATCTAAATTACTATCTAAATTACTATCTACATTACTATCTAAATTACTATCTAAATTACTATCTAAATTACTATCTAAATTACTATTTAAATTACTATCTAAATTACTATCTAAATTACTATCTAAATTACTATCTAAATTACTATCTAAATTACTATCTAAATTACTATCTAAATTACTATCTAAATTACTATCTAAATTACTATCTAAATTACTATCTAAATTACTATCTAAATTACTATCTAAATTACTATCTAAATTACTATCTAAATTACTATCTAAATTACTATCTAAATTACTATCTAAATTACTATCTAAATTACTATCTAAATTACTATCTAAATTACTATCTAAATTACTATCTAAATTACTATCTAAATTACTATCTCAATTACTATCTAAATTACTATCTAAATTATTATCTGAATTACTATCTGAATTACTATCTAAATTACTATCTGAATTACTATCTAAATTACTATCTAAATTACTATCTAAATTACTATCTAAATTACTATCTAAATTACTATCTAAATTACTATCTAAATTACTATCTAAATTACTATCTAAATTACTATCTAAATTACTATCTAAATTACTATCTAAATTACTATCTAAATTACTATCTAAATTACTATCCAAATTACTATCTAAATTACTATCTAAATTACTATCTAAATTACTATCTAAATTACTATCTAAATTACTATCTAAATTACTATCTAAATTACTATCTAAATTACTATCTAAATTACTATCTAAATCACTATCTAAATTACTATCTAAATTACTATCTAAATTACTAGGTAAATTACTATCTAAATTACTATCTAAATTACTATCTAAATTACTATCTAAATTACTATCTAAATTACTATCTAAATTACTATCTAAATTACTATCTAAATTACTATCTAAATTACTATCTAAATTACTATCTAAATTACTATCTAAATTACTATCTAAATTACTATCTAAATTACTATCTAAATTACTATCTAAATTACTATCTAAATTATTATCTGAATTACTATCTAAATTACTATCTAAATTACTATCTAAATTACTATCTAAATTACTATCTAAATTACTATCTAAATTACTATCTAAATTACTATCTAAATTACTATCTAAATTACTATCTAAATTACTATCTAAATTACTATCTAAATTACTATCTAAATTACTATCTAAATTACTATCTAAATTACTATCTAAATTACTAAAATTACTATCTAAATTACTATCTAAATTACTATCTAAATTACTATCTAAATTACTATCTAAATTACTATCTAAATTACTATCTAAATTACTATCTAAATTACTATCTAAATTACTATCTAAATTACTATCTAAATTACTTACTATCTAAATTACTATCTAAATTACTATCTAAATTACTATCTAAATTACTATCTCAATTACTATCTAAATTACTATCTAAATTATTATCTGAATTACTATCTGAATTACTATCTAAATTACTATCTGAATTACTATCTGAATTACTATCTAAATTACTATCTAAATTACTATCTAAATTACTATCTAAATTACTATCTAAATTACTATCTAAATCACTATCTAAATTACTATCTAAATTACTATCTAAATTACTATTTAAATTACTATCTAAATTACTATCTAAATTACTATCTTTTTTTTTTTTTTTTTTTTTTTTTTTGTCGGGTGAGGAACATTTTATATGCCGGCCCCTGCGCTTGGGATCTGATGTTAAATCTATCGCGACAGGGAGTGTGGGACTCCAGGGCTCTCTGGGTGCAAGTCCCTGTTTACCCACTAAACCTCACCTCATATCCTTACCTTCCTTTTCTGGAATCGCTCTCGCATTACTTCGGAAAAGGAGATTTTCTTTGCGTGTCTATCTTTTGTTTTCACATGGTTACATGGTTATCGCTAGCAGTCGTTCGTCTAATGCTTTTTGCTTCATTATCCCTCGTATCATTTCTGCTATTGCATTCCAGTTTTCTTCAGTGCGAAGTAGAAGTTCCGCCACGTTGTCTGTTGTGATCTCCGTTCCGCATCTCACGTTTGCAATTCTTCTTAATTCATTCCATCTGGCACACTCAAAAATTGTATGCAGTACTGTATCGTCCATATTCTCGCAGTACCAGCAGCTACTGTTTTGGGCTTTTTTTATTCGTAGTAGGTATTTTCCAAAGATACCGTGACCAGTTAATGCCTGGGTCAGGTAGTAATCTACCTCGCCCCATTTTTTTTTCATGATATCTTTTTACATCTCGTATAAAGGTTTTTGTCCAGTTGTCGGTATTGTCCCAGATATTCTGCCATTTTCTCATGACTAGTGTTCTTGCTTCCATTTTGTAAGCGCTTCCCCTTTCATATACGTCTATTCTTTCTTCAACACTCAGTTTAATTGGTAGAATTCCCGCTATGACCAGTATTGCTTGGGTAGGTACTGTTCTATAGGCTGATGTTATTCGTATTGCCATTTTCCTGTTGACTCTTTCTAGTATATTTTCGTATTTTTTTAATTTAAGCTCTATGTTCCATATAGGTGCACCGTACAGAATTATTGACGTCGTTGCTGTCATCAAAACCTTCCTCTTGCTAGATCTAGGTCCCCCTACATTAGCTGTAATTCTTGTCAAATCATTTAAGACTTTGTTGGCTTTTTCGCAGGTCTTTATAATGTGGGTTTTCATTGTCATTCCAGCATCTACGTGTACGCCCATATACCTTATGTCCTGCTTGATACCGATTTCTTTTCCATCTACATTAAGTTGTAGATCTGAGATTCTTCTCTCTCCTGCCAATGCTACCGATTCCGTTTTTGTCACCTCTACTTTGAGTCCTAGCTCCGTTAGTTCATCAATGATTTGTTCAACAGCATATTGTGCAGTCGTCTCCAATAGGTCTCTAGTTTTTGTTTTTATAATAATTACAAGGTCATCTGCATAGGCTATTAGTTTTACTGCTTTACCACAGTCCATTCTTAAAATTTGATCATAAAATACATTCCATAGAATAGGCCCCAGGACTGAGCCTTGTGGTACTCCTGATGTAATCTGAACTAGTTCCCCGTCTTCTTTCTGTATGTATCTGTTTTCAAAATAAGACTGTATTAACCTTATTAAATAGCGAGAGATTCCGTGTCTTGTTAGAGCTCGCAGAATTTCCATCCATGGAGCTGAGTTGAAAGCGTTTACTATCTAAATTACTATCTAAATTACTATCTAAATTACTATCTAAATTACTATCTACATTACTATCTAAATTACTATCTAAATTACTATCTAAATTACTATCTAAATTACTATCTAAATTACTATCTAATTTACTATCTAAATTACTATCTAAATTACTATCTAAATTACTATCTAAATTACTATCTAAATTACTATCTAAATTACTATCTAAATTACTATCTAAATTACTATCTAAATTACTATCTAAATTACTATCTAAATTACTATCTAAATTACTATCTAAATTACTATCTAAATTACTATCTAAATTACTATCTAAATTACTATCTAAATTACTATCTAAATTACTATCTAAATTACTATCTCAATTACTATCTAAATTACTATCTAAATTATTATCTGAATTACTATCTGAATTACTATCTAAATTACCATCTGAATTACTATCTAAATTACTATCTAAATTACTATCTAAATTACTATCTAAATTACTATCTAAATTACTATCTAAATTACTATCTAAATTACTATCTAAATTACTATCTAAATTACTATCTAAATTACTATCTAAATTACTATCTAAATTACTATCTAAATTACTATCTAAATTACTATCTAAATTACTATCTAAATTACTATCTAAATCACTATCTAAATTACTATCTAAATTACTATCTAAATTACTATCTAAATTACTAGGTAAATTACTATCTAAATTACTATCTAAATTACTATCTAAATTTCTATCTAAATAACTATCTAAATTACTATCTAAATTACTATCTAAATTACTATCTAAATTACTATCTAAATTACTATCTAAATTACTATCTAAATTACTATCTAAATTACTATCTAAATTACTATCTCAATTACTATCTAAATTACTATCTAAATTATTATCTGAATTACTATCTGAATTACTATCTGAATTACTATCTAAATTACTATCTGAATTACTATCTAAATTACTATCTAAATTACTATCTAAATTACTATCTAAATTACTATCTAAATTACTATCTAAATTACTATCTAAATTACTATCTAAATTACTATCTAAATTACTATCTAAATTACTATCTAAATTACTATCTAAATTACTATCTAAATTACTATCTAAATTACTATCTAAATTACTATCTAAATTACTATCTAAATTACTATCTAAATTACTATCTAAATTACTATCTAAATTACTATCTAAATTACTATCTAAATCACTATCTAAATTACTATCTAAATTACTAGGTAAATAACTATCTAAATTACTATCTAAATTACTATCTAAATTACTATCTAAATTACTATCTAAATTACTATCTAAATTACTATCTAAATTACTATCTAAATTACTATCTAAATTACTATCTAAATTACTATCTGTCTATTTCGTCATTTGCTCTGATTTTCATCGCCTCTCTCATCATAGTTATTATGTTCCGTTTGCCCTCGCTTTTTAATTTTTCATCTGCCATATTGTCTGCTCCTATAGTTCTTCCCGGTCCCCGCGCTTGTCGCCTGGTTGCCTCAAATTGCTTACCTTTAAAGATGGCATGTTTCCCTTCAGTATGAGCAAGGTTTATTTATGGCCTTCCCAATCACATGCAAGTACAATTTGGGAACGCGAGACCGAGACAGGAGAGAGAGGCAAGCGACAGCGTAACACGATCGAAATGCATTTATTTACGTCTGAATCACAATGTAATTGAATGAAGCACATTTGGGACAGCGCAACCGATGCAAGAAACATGACAGCACTTTTAATACGGCAGTGTTTGTTGCCTGTTTCTGTAGCTTGCATCGGTCTCGCGTTCCCAATGGTTTTACGAGCTACCCTTCGATATCAGTATCACGCTGATGTTCTTTCAAGAGATAGTGATACTATGATGATTTAAAACGTTCTTCATTGCTTGGAGTACTATACCTGGTGTCTTCTGAACTGTTTGTCCTACACTTTCGAGTTGTATGCCGTCTAGCAACTTGTTGATTTTTAATTTTTTAGTGTATCTTTTTAATTACGTCTGTGTTAAGGTTAGGGAGCTGCAGATTACTCTTTCTGACTTAAGCCTGTCGTCCTAGGGTGGTGATTTTCAGTTTTCTTTGGTCAACTAGTTCATAAGAGCTAATGTATCTTAGTTTGTATCTTTGTACCTAGACGTTATTTTCTAGTTGGTCGCATAAATACAGCCACATTTCTTTTTTGTATGTTTCTATGTATATTTATAGCTCTTTTCAAGCGACTTTGTACTTATATTCTAGTTGATGGACGTTTAGTTCCTTTATTTGCGTGCTGCTGGTACTGGAGAGTCTATGTCTTGAATTATTGTGGTCTGATTGTCTTTTATGGTCAGTTTGGTTGTTTTACCAGATGGGTTTCTTTATATGAGTTTTGTCTCTGGAACTAAACCATCTTTCTGTGTCTTTCTTAATAGAGTCTATTATTTCCTAGACGGAGTTTCCTGTTGGTATCGGTCTATAGTGCCTTAAGTGGTTCATGATGGTCTCCTTGTTTAGCAATTTGACTTGTTTCCATTTGTTTGACCTTTTTTGGATCTGCCTTCTTCGATATCAAAGTAAATGTACCTATGTAAGGATAGACTTTCTTCTTTAAGTACTTTTCCATTTTTCAATTGATCTGATGATACGTTCCCAGGATATGGCTAGGTTATTGATTTATTTTTGACTGCCTCTTAATGTCTTAATATATTCTTCTAAGAAGTCCCCTCTGTTGTCATGAACGGTAGAGCCGCGTTAAGGTCACCAGCAATGATAAACTCTGTATTTTCTGACTGGGCTCTCATAATGGTGTCAATGTATAGCTGATAATCTTTAAACGGTGCAGTTTAATATAAGGTTGTTTAGATATTTTGGTATATCGTGGTGTGGACTCATTGAGTTTTACACTGCACTTATTTTTTAAATCATATTCCTATGTGGTTCCTGTACCAGCATAACGTCGGCGTCTTCTCTGTTTGCAGTTGTTAATGCTATATTTATTTGTAAGATTTTCTATTAATTGCAATTATTGAAGTAGGTTGTTGTAGCTCATACTAATACCCAAACGCAAAAACAAACCTTCAGACATACACGAATGCGTACGAGCTTACATAAGTTAGTTGATAAGAACCTATAGACACTTTAAAGCGACAAAAGATAATGTACTACTTTCAGTAAGTTTACACGAATTTCCACTAGTTAACACGAATATACGCGAATCTACAAGACGCTAGGAAAACAAATGAAATAAATATTTAAATTTCTTAGGGGTTGCGTTTTACCACAGTACCCAGAACACGGAAGATGGGTTATCCGAGGAGGTGCCAAAGCTGCAGCAGGAACAAGAGTGGGTTACAGCACTATACTAACTTTTGAGTGCGACTTCCGATACAAATTGTCCAGCGAGAACAACTTAATTGCTTGTATTGAGGGCGGATGGTCCACTATCCCACCAACTTGTTTAAGTAAGTCATTTTTTATATACCGTTCCTTGAAACTACAATATGTATTAACTATAATTATTTTCAGAACTCTGTCCGACTCTCTACACCAGCGAAACAACCATGGTGAAGTGTTTAGATCATAACAGAGCCGAAATAAAATGTGATTCGGCTACAAATGGTTCCACCGCCTCCTTCGAATGTGCTAATTACTACGAACCGGCCGAAAGAACAGCATTAAAAAGATTTTGCTGGGAAGGTGTTTGGAACCTGCAACCTCCACAATGTGTTCCAGGTCAGCCAATCGTTGTCATATTTAACATTAATTACTATAATTGTAACGCAAACGGTTGTAGTAACGCATCTGATTCTGATCATATAAAAGATCAACATGATCATCACAATTCTAATAGTAGTAGTGATGCTATTAATTATAATGAAAAAAGAATTATTTATCCTGATGAATTTGAAGCTATGATGCAAGTAGATATAAGATGATGTAATAGGTGAATCCAGGGTAGAAAGATTTTAGTATTTGTCTTAGCGATTACTAACGAGTCATCGAGAAAATTCATAATTGGAATCAACTGTGAAATTTAAACGTTTTGGGTTGGTACTTTAGCTATTTCCACAAATGGCATTTTTGCTATTAATAATAGAAGTTAGGGGAAGACATTTATGACTTTAAATAATCATAAAAAACTGAAAATTCGATGAGTTTTTGTCATTCAGTTAATCGTGCCAAATTAAGTTTCAAATCAGACCTTGTTATTGGATGATTTGTGGAAAACCTATACATTAAAGAATATTTATCGTAACTACTTTTAAAAAGAAAATATTTACTAACCTCTCAAATACCAGACGAATGACGTCTAACTGAAATGTTGCTAATGGATTTTTTCTAGGATCAGTGGCCAAAAGCATGGCATGAGAATTAAATAAACAAATATCCATAATGTGGAAATACAACTTTTTATACCATTTTATACTTTTGCGCATACTATCAATACTAGAAATCATCATGTCAGTACGGTCACAGAAGAAAGAACAATACTTTATTCTGTGGTACAGTCGACAGCTCCCATTTTGTTATTATATTCCACTACACATCTGGGCTTCCGTACGTTTTCTTTACTGATCCTGTCTACTTTTGGAAAAACTATAATTTCGTTTGCATGGATAGTGGTTATCATATGGACATCTCAATGATCTTTTCATTTTTTTACCAATATATTATCACCAGAATACCAACAAACATCTCTTTTATCTTTTTTTGTGCCTATGACCTTTGGCATATGCTTTCTATGTTCCACAAGAGTTTGTTTTATTTTTTGAATAGAAAAGTTGACAAAGCAGGACTGCTGTAGTAGTTATCTGTGAAAAGCGAGTGTCTTTTGTTGAGATATTGATCTATGAGCTTGGTTACAACAGCTCCTCGATATACCCAAGTCTTGATTGAATCCCAAATTTTCACTTGTATCTATTCCCTATGAAATCCAATACTATTCCAGATTCGCAGTAGCATCATCATCATCATCTGAATTAGGGCGTGGTTCAAAGCCCACTTGTACTGAAGCTCTAGGCTTATTGTACCCTTTACAGTTTCTATCCCATCAGATTGATTTTCTTGATGAATTCAAGAATATGTCTGATGGGCGCTTTCGCGATTTCTTCAGGTTCCGGATATTGTACCCCGAAGTACCATTCCCGTTCCCATTTAAGGTTTCGGCAGTGACATAGTATGTGAATAGGAGTTTCGTCCTCCTCTTCACATATTCTGCATAGGGAGTCATCAGATATCCCTAAGAGATTTAGGTGTCTTCTAAGGCCGCAGTGTCCCGTAAGGAGTCCTATTACGGCCTTGAGTTCGCTTCTGCTAAGGTTTAGCAGATGTTGTTGTCTGCTCGTCGCCCATAAGATATTTTTAGCTTCCCCGCTACTTTATTTCCTTTATCGCTTTTAACATCCCTGTTTGCGTATTTTACAGTATAAAAAATAATTTTAATAAATATTCTGTAGGAAAATGTGGACAAGTTGGCGTAAAATTTATTGTTTTCATTTGCTGCAAAAATACTCATTCCGCTGCCACTTTTGGAATGACATTCATGAACTACACAATAATATCCAACCATTTTGTTACGAAATTATCCAGAAAACACACAATAAAAATCACACAGTAATAATTGAAAGAAATAATTCAAAACAGTCGAAACTACAGTTGTTGCGCTCGGATCAAAATCGCTGGACACCTTCGTATACGGTGTCGCGCTGGCCACATGCAAATAGATACCATATTTTCGATCATGCGCCGTGGAAAACCGACCCGGCGGAAAAGGGCCTTTGTCTCTTGTCGGCGTTTGGTTATTCTCGGGTCTGGACCTTCTTCAAAACTCTCACTTTCATCCGAAGAACTTGGCATATAGTCACTTTCACTGCCATGAAACGACTCTTCTTTACCATCAGACAAATTTAGACCAAGTTTTTACAAAGGTCTTCTGCTCTTCTGCTCTTCTGCTCTTCTGCTCTTCTGCTTCAGACAAACCACAATACGTATCGATTTTTGCTCTGGGGCGGCTGCCAGAAGGTCCGGCGTCCTCCTTTCGCGACATTGTGCTTACTACTAAATATAAATCGCCGACTGTCGGCTATTTCCTGGTGGTGCCTGATATATCCGACAGTCATCCATCTTCCAAGATTTTTTGGGACTGATAAATAAGTCAGGCGTCTGTACACAAGCATAAATTATTAGCGACGGTTTTAACCGGCAGTAGTCTGGTGAGCAATTTAAACCCGCGACGATTATATCCGTCAGTCGTCTGTGAGGCATTTTTTGTGTGCCTGATTTATCTATGTGCCTGTTACACAAGATATGAGTAAAAATATCACCTTTTTTTTTTCGAACTTATATTCATCTTTTCTGTTCTTAAGACGAATTTACTCTGCCTTGTGTAGTTGTTATATTATTGTTATATAGTTGTTAACGATTAGAAATTTTAGTTAGAAATTCTTCCTTAATTTGCAGTTATCGATTATCAGAAATATATGGGTAAAAAAATTAATATTTAGTTAAATATCAGGGCTGTCACTCTAAACTATCGAGATATTTATTCCATCTCAATGCTCTAAACCAATGATCGCCAACCTCTCAATGTGTTGAGCTACTTTGTTAATATTGGAATAAACAGCGAGCTACCCACACGAAAGCCACGTAACGCAACGTAAATGAAATAATCCACAGTTAATTTATCATTATATGTATTTATTTTACTATTTAACTGGTAATACATAATACATAGGTACTAATAATAAACTAATAACAAAATAACTAATATTACTAGTACGTACTTATTCATAGCTACATTCCTACCTACCAAACGAAGGTGTTTGAAAAATAAACACAAACTTTTATCCAGCCACAACGGCATGTCACGTAAGATTTAAAAATAGTAATAACAACAAAAAAGTAACGCACTATCATGAATATAAACATTGAAAAATAAAAAAGCACGTTCAATGAGAAGGCTGACACTTAGACTCATCGATAATTTTTTTAATGTTTGCAGTATAATTTGATACAGCCATTCGAATAAAATTATCCAAATGTTCATCTGTAAGTCGATTGCGATATTTGTTCTTAATAAACTTCGTGTTGGAAAAAGAAGATTCACACAAATAGGTTGAACTAAATAATGCTTTCACTTTCAAGGCAACACGGCATAGAACTGAATATTTGTCTTTACTTACAATAGGCCAGATACATTTGGTACTTGAGACTAACGATTTTGAGGCTAAATCATTTTGAAACTCAATTACTTCCATTTCTGTTGCAGCGATGTCTTCTCCAAAGTTCTGCATAACACAAGTTGCAAACTGTTGGATATCAATTTCCATAAAGGGTGAAACAACAAACTGCGCTACTAAAGCCATTTCGTTGAAATCCTTAAAACGATTTTTGAAGTTATTCTTCAGGGTAGAAACTATTTCTACATTATATTTGCTGTCATAGGGTTCTAATGGATTTTGAGATATTTTTTCTGAAAGAATAGGAAAATGCTTGGCATCGCTGTTAATTAGGTTTTGTTCACAAAACTCCAGCTTTTTGATAAATGCTTTTATATCAGAAATCATTTCCGCTAGTTCTTTGTCTCTCCCCTGAAGCTGAAAATTAAGTTCGTTTAATTTCTCTGTAATGTCCACGAGAAAACCAAAATCTCTAAGCCAGATTGAGTTTTCTAGTTCCGGAGTCGGTTCATCGCGTTGTTTAAAAAATTGAACTATGCCAGATAGGACATCATTAAAACGTTTTAGCACCCGTCCTCTACTTAACCATCGGACTTTAGAGTGAAGGAGTAGGTCCCCGTATTGACAGTCAACTTCATCGGCCAAGGTTTTGAATAATCTTCTTCGTAACGCTTGAGCTCTAATCTTGTTCACAATTTTTACCACCAGTTTCATAACGTTGTTTAGTTTCAGGAAATTTCCCCATAATGCTTGCTGATGGATAATGCAGTGGTAACAGAGACATTGCGGAATAGTTTCATTTTTATGACATAATTCCACCAGATCCTTATCACAACCCACCATAGCTGGAGCGCCATCGGTTGTCAAATCTACCATTTTCGATATTGGAATTTTCTCGGAAGAAATAATATTTTTTAAATGAGAAAACAACTCCTGTCCAGTAGTGTGTCCTTTAAGTGAAATAAACTTCAAAAGATCTTCTTTAATCGTAAAATCACTAAAAACCATCCTGACGAACACGGCTATCTGGGCAGTGTCAACGACATCTTTTGATTTATCCAGTTGAAGTAAAAAATAAACACAGTTATCTAAGTCAGTTCTTAACTGTAAAAAAATATCATTGCTCATTACTTCTACACGTCTCATCACTGTATTAGCAGAAAGCTGCATAGATTTTATAGCTGAAACTATCTCGTCTTTATTTCTAAAGTTGGCAAATAACGAATCAGCAGCTTCTAAAAACGCCTGCTTTATCATTTCCCCGTTTTCATAAGGTTTCTTTTTTTGTGAAATTATCTGGGACACACGGTACGATGCTTCAGTTGCAGACTTATTTTTGGCGACTGTTCTTAAAAATATTGATTGTTGTCCAATTAACTGCTTTTTTAACTGTTTCAGTTTCTCCTTTCTGGCGGCAGAATGTAGTGGGAATGATTTTTCAAAATTAGAATGTACAGTTTTATGATGTCTCTCAAAATTTCCTTTTTTAGCAACGGAGACCGAAGTATTACATAACAAACACACATTTTTATCTTTAACTTCTGTAAAAAAGTA